AAGAAGAAGAAGAAGAAGAAGAAGAAGAAGAAGAAGAAGAAGAAGAAGAAGAAGAAGAGGAGGAGGAGGAGGAGGAGGAGGAGGAGGAGGAGGAGGACCAATCTCTTTTTCCAAGGGATGTATATTGTTATTCTTGTGTTAGTGGGTTTTAATGCAATATCATATACCCCCTGTCCATGACCTGATTACATCTGTTTCGTAACAGTGGGAGAGAAAAGCAGGAGTTTTGATTAATTAATGATGTACCATCAAGTTGCCATTGACTCTTGGCAACCACATACAGATATCTTTTTCAAGACGATCTGTTCCCAACCTGGTCCTTCAGGTCTTCCAATGGTGCACCCAGAGCAGCTGTAACTGAGTCTCTCCCCCTTGCTGCTGGCCATCCTCTTCTTCTCTCTCCTTCCACCTTTCCCAGCATTGTGGACTTCTTAAGGGAGCAGGATCTTCACATAATGTTCCCCAAATACTTAGGCTTCTGTTGGCTAGGGTAAAGAGTAACAGAAACTTCTAATATTTGGGATTGTTGCAGACCAGATTGGATAGCCCCACTTTTGAGACCTAATTGGATACCTTTGTATACAGGCGTTAGAGCTTATCTGAAGGTGGATGCACCATAATAGTTAACAATGAGAGTTGCTATCAACCATTCTTGATTTTTATACCCAATGCTAATGTAATCTGCTGAAAATGCGATGATGATGATGATGATGATGTCGTCTAAAATGCTAATGAATAGGTACACTGATAATATGAATATCTTCCATCTAGACCAGTGAAGTTAAAAAATGACATATTGGAGTGTAGCAGGATAGCAATGGAATAAGCGAACAAATAAATAAGCCACACGAGGCCCTTCAAATTTTTGATTAGGAGATTTTAAAGGTTTTAGAGAAAATTGCCATTTTCTTAAATCCCTGCAGTGCCCAAGAAATCCAAAAGTTCAGTATGTGTATATGCGTGTATCCTTAAGTATTAACATTTTTAACGGAGGGCTGGATTTTAATAATAAATCTTCCTTGTCCTTTTTAATCGGCTTGTATAAGTTTTATGAACATGATTCCCATCGGTGTTTGGAAATGATGCTTTGAGTGAATTAATATGTTAAACCCTTCAAAGAAATACCTTCATGGTTTAAAATCAATGCAGTTTAGATTAAGTTTCTCTAGAGCAGGGTTTCTAAACCTTGGCAACTTTAAGATGTGTGGACTTCAACTCCCAGAATTCCCCAGCCAGCCATTTGGATTTCTTTCCCATCGGTGTTTGGAAATGATGCTTTGAGTGAATTAATATGTTAAACCCTTCAAAGAAATACCTTCATGGTTTAAAATCAATGCAGTTTAGATTAAGTTTCTCTAGAGCAGGGTTTCTAAACCTTGGCAACTTTAAGATGTGTGGACTTCAACTCCCAGAATTCCCCAGCCAGCCATTTGGATTTCTTTCTGGCTACCAAAAGTAGCCCTTTCTAGGACCTAGAGGTGCAAGAATGAGAGTTCCATTGTCTTGCAAATCTAGCTGTAGATGATGCTATCTCAGTTTCCAGTAGAGAAGAAACAGGTTTAGAAAATATAGATGTTTGGAGAAATCATGTTGCAATGTAATCTAAGCTGGAGAAATGCATACTTTTCCTGTGGGCCTGTTACCTCCTGATCAATTGCAGCATTTTGGTGTGGATTTAAATGTGGTTGAGGCTGAAATATCCCACCACAGAGTAGTTGACTTCTTTTAATGGGGCCTAATGGGGGATGTCCTATAGATCTTGCTAAGACAGATTTAGGAAGGCATCTTCAGAAAGGTACAGTTCAATTAAGGAAAAAAAAAAAAATCCTGCAAATTCCAAAGCAGAATAATTTGCCTTCATATGGAATTGAAATCTATTCTTCTGAAGATCTTTCCTAAATCTGACACACGTTCAGTCCTGTGACTGTAGTGAATAGTGGCTCTATTTTATGAGGAATCACCCATAGCTTCAAAATATTTATTTTTATTTGGGTCCTACAGATTCCAATGCATTTCCAAAACCTAGAGAACATCTTAGATCAAAACTGCCCCAGGAGTTACTTAAAGAATTGTAGGTTTTTTGTATGGCAGGAAGGGGAAAGGATGAAATCAATACTTAGCAGCCTATGACATTAAGTGCATTTCATGGAGGAAGGAATTTGCTTAACAATTTCCTTGTTCCTAATGAAACCAAGAAAAGGTGTTTTTTTTTAATAGACCTATTGTTGCATATTTTAACACGTATTTATATTTATTTGCATAATTAAAATAATTAGCATGGAGTTGTAAATGTTGGTAAGGCCAATTGTTGAGTCTTGGCCCGACTTGAGCCAGGCAGTGAAGATTTCAGAAAGGGTTTTTTGGGAACAGGAATTTTATCAGCTCTCAAAATACTCTTCTGACCCTTCCTTTAAAGACCTACTTTCCAGGACTTTCTTGGAAACTGGTTGGGACATCAGATCAGGCTGGTCAGACTGTTAATATATACAGATTCTCTGTCTGTTGCAGTTGTGAGATGTTCATTGTAATGTAAATTTTTCAGAGGTCTGATTTGTTAATCCAACTCAGTTGATATCCAGTGAAATCCCCTGTGGCACCATTGGAGGGTTGGTATAGTCCTGGAGATTTATGTCAGCTTAGAAACCACATTTCTAGAGATAGTGTCACAATCCCTAAGCATTTTATTTATTTATGCCAGGCTGAAGAGTTACTTAACTTGTCTTGTCTGCACAAGTAATTAGTTATTTAATCTGGCATATTTGGGAAAATGAATCAGCTTAGCATTTCTGACTCTACTCAATGAAGGATCAGCTGTGTCCTGTCTTTGGTGAACCAGGAAGACCCAGCAAAGTTATGGAACAACATTTCAAGGAAGCATCTTTCTTTTCCTGTTAAAAATTGTCACTCATTAGTCAAATATCGTTTGCCCTCTTCAAAAGGAGATCTCATCTTCAGAACACTTATCCAAGTAGTTGGGCCCCTGGGGAAACAAACAAATCAGAAGAAGAAAGAGAAGGAGGAAATTATAATTTAATAGAACAGCTTCTTAGTGAAATGGACATGATATGTTTCTTGCATAGTCCTGTTTTGATGTATGAATGGAAACATCACCTATGTGGTTTTAAAATATGGTGGTGTCCTGTGAATAGAAA